ATGTAAAAAACAAGTAAAAATTGTGCACCTTAAAAGAGGTTGATTTGCAGATAAAATATAATTATAAAACTCAATAATAAATAATTAATTAATGGGCAGTGGTGAGATGGCTCAGGGGGTAAAGGATTTTATTTCCAACTCTGATGATCTGTGTTCAATTCCTGGAACCCACATGTGTCAAGGAGAGAACTTATTTCTGCAAGTTATTCTGCTTTCTATACACAAACATCATAAGTGAGTAAATGACTAAATAAATAAAACTTTAATGTAATAAAAATAATGGTAAATAGAAATTAAGTGGACATTTTTGTAAAACATGACACAAAACATTCTGCAGAGTGTTATAAGAGACAACATATAAAAGAATGATCAGGAATGATTAGATATTATAACAAGGTATAGTTTGCTGAGAACAAGAAGTTGAGATGTGTTATTGTGCATGGGGTTACTATAGATCACAATAATGTATTATATTTTTGGAAACAGTAGAAGAAATGTCAAAAGGAAAAGATAGAAAGAAGTAGTTTTAAAGTTTCACCACAAAAAAATTGCTGAGAAGACAGGCATTCTTGACCTAATTTGAACTTTTTATATCAGACATTGGGTATAGAAACATTGCATGATACTTCATTGGTATGTGTGACTTTTGTGTTTCCATTTACCCTTTTAAAGGGAAATTTAATGTCTAAGATCCAGAAACCATTTTGGTCTCTAAGGCCTGTTAATTGCTATTTCCCTAAGAAGACAGGATGAAGATCTTCAGATACACACTGGGGCAACTCTCCAGAGTTCTCTGGTTGTTTATATTTCTCTCTACATCTCCATTCACTAGCCTCTGAAATACCAATGTGGCACACCAGGGGACACACTGAATGCCATTATCCATTAGATTTTATTTATTTTCTGAGTGGCAGTAATTGTTAACACATGCGGATCTTTTATGTAACTTGATGATCAGCTATGGGCCTTCAAGCAAGGTAAGGGAAAAACCTCACCAACAATCTTCACATTGATTGACTATTATCTGGCAAACTCTTCATGGGTTTCTTTACTAACTTCTGTTTTTCTTTTTTCTTTAAGTATACAGATATAACCTATGAACTATGGGAGGGGAGTGATGTTGTCTGGTTTTCCTGTACTATGTTTTCCTAACAAGGAGGTAAGTGACTCTCCTGAGGAAAAATGAGTAATACATGTTGAATTCAGAACTTGGTGTGTGCAGAAGTTCTGTCCTACACTCTTCCTTTATACAAGATTGAAACATAACCACTTTCTAAGAGCAAGCTCTTGGAAGAGGATACATGAGAGTTTGCCCTACTAAAAACTGACAACCTACATTTCATAACCATAATAGTGAGAAGTATATTCCCAACAAAAAAGTGGTCTTTGTATAGCTACTATGAGTTTCTTGAGAACAGTTGTTTGAAAATAGTTTTGATAGTTAAAACAGTTCAAAGGCTAAAGGTTATTATTCTAAAACTAGTTTTGAAATGTTGAATCTAAATATTAATGTCAAAATGCTACCAGATAGTTGATGATTCATATAAAAATTATTCTTCTTAGAAAGAATATAAAATGTAATTTCATTGTTGTAACTTTATTTTGTTCAGCAGAAGTTTAATATACTTGGATATTAAAAAATCACAAAAGACACAAACAAACCCAGAAGATAAAATAATCATTATGCATACTGATGAAAGGTTAGAAATAAATGAACATTCACTCAATCCTTATATTAATTTAACCCTTATGCCATGAGGTCAGGCTCATTATTGGATGGAATATTTTAAATTCTTTAATTACTACTCATATTTACATATCCATCCCCTCATTCCCTCAACTGCCCATCCTCCCATGTCCTCACCAACCACCCCAACCCATCCCCCAACTCTTCCCCAGGGATAGTGAGGCCCTCCACCAGGGACCTTTAAAGTCTGTCATATCATTTGGGGGAGGGCCTAGGCCCTCCTTGCTGTATCTGGGCTGCAATAGTATCCCTCCATAGGGAATGGGCACCCAAAGTCCATTTGTGCTCTAGGGTTAAAGACTGGCTCCACTGTTAGAGGTCCCATAGAATGTCTTGACCTCCTAACTGGCACCCACATTCAGAGGGCTTGGTTTGGTCCAATGCTGTTTCCCCAGCTTTATGATTAGGGTGTCCATGCTCTCACTAGGTCAGGTCCACTGTTTCTTCGGGTTTCTGCAGAACCGTCTTGGCTCCTTTGCTCATCCCTCCTCCCTCTCCACAACTGGATTCCAGGAGTATGGTTCAGTGCTTAGCTGTGGGTGCCTGTTTCTGCTTAGAACAGCTACTGGATGAAGGCTTTAGGAATGGTAACCAAGATAGACATCAATCTCATTATAGGGGAAGAACATCAATGGCATCTTCTCCACCACTGCCTGGATTCTTAGTTTGGGTCATCCTTGTGGCTCTCCTAACATTTCCCCTGTACCAGACCTTAACTGTTGAACCCTAAGTGTTTTTCATACTGCTTACAAAAATCAAGATTACCATGAAATTTCTTAGATATTAAGTTTTCTTATAAATTAAGTAGGAAATAATACTTTAAATTCTACTTTACACACACACACACACACACACACACACACACACACACACACACCATTTGAAAATAATGTACAAAATGTGAAAGTTATCATATGAGGTTAGATTTGCAACTAAATATTTTTAGGTATACGTACATAATTAAAGTGGTCAAAATCTGAAGAAAATGATGGTAGCCAATAACATAGTAGATATCCTTCCAAGTATTTCAAGCCAAACAAGAAAGTTTAATTATTATTAGAGTATAAGAATGCTATGTCTATGAGATAAACAAAGCTCAGAAACCCTGAGCTTGGGCTCCAGGGTTTCTGTTGTTGCTGATGGATGATATATTTAGAAAATGAAACTAAAATTTAAGAAAAGAGGAATATTTCATCTAAAATTATGGATTACCAGAATGAAATTTTGTAAACAATGATTTCCAGTGAGATTTCATGACCAACATTGATATGCTTAGAATAAAAACAAACAGATTCATGACAAGACACAGTTACAGTGTTACAAATGCAGAAAGGGTAGCTTGGAGAAGGAATGCTCAAGACTTAACAAGAACTAAAGCTCTATATGTTATCACATAGTAATGAAAACTAGATCAGTAGTACTCACTAAGGCATGCTTAATAACCAATATTTTCTTGCCATTTATATACTACTTCATTTCACAATAATACCCCAAATATCCCTCATTATTGTCTATATTTTGTGGATGGAAATATGGTGTTTAGAAGAGGTAGGTGTGTTCTAGGTAGTCATTGGATGATCTGCTATATATCTCTTTAAAGAACTTGAGCTGTCTGTGTTTTAATTAATGACATTTCCTCATTCTAACTTCCCTATGTAGCTGAATATTCTCCCATCATAACTTTAAGATCAACAAATCTATTATATACAGCATTGAGAAATATTGATTCAAGATAAAGCCTTCTTTGAGCTAATCATAATACCATGCTGCTGGATATACCCTTATCAGTGTATCTAGAGGTGTAAAATTAAAAGCATGAAAACATGTGGAAAGAATTAAATGTCATTCAAGCTCATCACTTCATTAAGAACCTTCTAATACTAAGAAAAAGCATTTCACTGTTAGGAACTACTCATTTGCTTGATCTATAATGAGAACAGCTATATAGTGACCAAGATAAAATTACTACAGGGTGTGCCACTCAGTTTATTTGATTAAGCAAAAGAATAAAATTACTCATTATAATGAAGTTATATTCTATCAGTAGGTCAGTTCCACTGTTTCTGAAGGTCTCTCCATCCCCGTCTTGGATCCTTTGCTCAGCCCTCCATAAAACTGGGGAAACAGCATTGGACAAGACCAAACCCTTTGAATATGGGTACCAGGTAAGAGTCCAAGACAGTCTATGGGTCCTCTAACAGCGGAGCCAGTCTTTCTCCATAGAGCACAAATGGACTTTGGGAGCCCATTCCCTATAGAGGGATGAGGAGTGGGGGGGGAGGAGTGGGTTGGGGTGGGTTAGGTGGGGAACATTGGAGGATGGGAGGGGGAGGGAATGAGGGGATGGATATGTAAATATGAGTAATTAAAAATAATAAAAAATGAAAAAAACAATGAAGTTAAATTATTTCAGATCATATGTCTGCAATTGGTGAAAAGTTTACCCAGTTTCAGAAGAGAAACTGCCAATTATATTACTTAAATGTGCAGAAAATTTATATCTCTTCTGCCTCCTAATTTACATGGATGTAAAATTTATCAAAGTCATTATATTATTGACAGAGCACAGGCTGTTTCTATAGTACCTCTTGGTAGGGAAGCACAGTAGTGTTAGTTTTAATGAGCCCAGGAAAATTGAACTGGGACATAGATACATTAAAATAAACCATGTTCAAAGAGTTACTAAACTCTCTACATATTGCTGACATGTATTATGCATATTCAGTTTTTGAGAGAAAAACAATTAAAATTCCCCAGATCTCAATAACTTTATTACATTGATCTAAAAGATTAAAAAATTAATTCTAGACCTAGAGAGAGAGTTCAGCAATTAAGAGCACTAGCTGCTCTTCCAGAGGTCCCAAGTCCAATTTTCAGCAACCACATGGTGTCGCAAAACCATCTGTAATGGGTTTGGATGTCCTCTTCTCATGGACCGAGACAGAGCACTCATGTACATAAAAAGTACATACATAAATAAGTCTTGGGAAAAAACTTAAAAAAATAATTCTATGTGTATGGGCGCTTTATCTACATGTATGTTGGTGCACAATGTGTGCCTCATGCTTCAGGAGGCTGTAGGACAGTGTTAGATCCCCTTGTGCTGGAGTTCCATATAGTTGTGAGCTGCCATGCATGTGCTGAGTCCGTTGTAATAGATAGGCAGTGCTTGTAATTGCTGCACCACCTCCCCAGCCCCTTATTGTACTCTTTAAAAAATTGTTTAAGGTTTTCTATTGGTTAACTGATATCATTGATGGAGAACAGTACAGAAGTGACATGGTTCATCCTGTTGGGACTCACCAATAACCCACATCTGAAGCTTCCTCTCTTTATTACCTTCCTCCTTATCTATACCATCACTCTGGCTGGGAACCTGGGAATGTTTTTATTAATTCTCTTGGACTATCGACTTCACACTCCCATGTACATTTTCCTCAGTAACTTGTCCTTAGTGGACTTTTGTTACTCTTCAACAATCACTCCAAATGTCATAGCTGGATTGCTTACAGAAGATAAGATCATGTCCTACAATGCTTGTGCTTCTCAGATGTTCTTTTTTTCAACCTTTGCCAATGTAGAAAACTACCTTTTGGTCTCAATGGCCTATGATCGCTATGTAGCAGTGTGTAAGCCCCTGCGCTATGCCACCACCATGACAACAAATGTGTGTGCATGTATAGTCATTGGCTGTTATATCTTTGGTATCCTGAATGCTGCCATCTGTACTGTGGATGCATTAAGTCTCTCCTTCTGTGAGACCAATGTAGTCCACCATTTTTTCTGCGATGTTCTAGCAGTAATGATTGTATCTTGTTCTGAAAGACATGTCAATGAACTGGTTCTTATTTATGCAGCTAGCTTCAATATATTTTGTGCTCTTCTATTCATCTTAATATCATACATGTTCATTTTTACCAACATACTAAAGATGCACTCTGCTGCAGGATATCGCAAAGCTCTCTCTACTTGTGCTTCCCACTTCACGGCTGTCTCCATTTTCTATGGGACAGTCACATTCATGTATGTGCAGCCCAGCTCTAGTCATTCAATGGACATTGATAAAATTTCATCTGTGTTCTACACCATGGTCATCCCCATGCTGAACCCTCTGGTCTACAGTCTAAGGAATAAAGATGTGAAGAGTGCCTTTACAAAGATTGTAGTTAAGTCAAGATAATGTTTATGGCTATGATTTTAACTTTCTGCTTTGCACAATATCTGGGTTAATTCCTTTTATCTTAACGATATACTGAATTAGATTTTCCTACACTCCACTGGATTCAAGAACTTGAAGTTACATCTTACCTCAGCAATAGTGTGTTGGCTGTCTATAAGTTAACATTTGTTCAGAAGAGTGAAACCTATATAAAATACTTATGGTAATTTTATGCCAGTTTGTTGAAAAAAATAATTGGTTGTGTTATCATATTCAATCATCTCATTCAGTACTCTTTCTGTCACATCAACACAAATGAATGTAATCAAGCGCATAAAGTAACCCACTGAAAAGATGACACACTCATATTTTCTTGTGAAAACTTACACAAATGATGTCAGAAAATTTCCAAATTAAATTTAGCATGACTTTGTTAGGTGTCTACTGTTTTGTTCATTTAATTGTGCTCAACTCATAGGAATATCCAGATGAATATGGTAAACATTTAATTTTATTTAATATCTAGGATACAATGCTGTATTTTAAAAGTTCTTCTTGAAAGAAGCAGGCCCAGTTTTAAAAACATTAATCTTCATCATCATTTGACCAACTGAGTGCTCTCCTGGACAGAGTCAAAAGTCATGGAAAAAGGAGCTACTTCATTCTTTAAATTAGTTACCGAGTCCTAATTATCCCCCTTTCTTCTCCCTTGCCCTCTCATTTCCTCAGTATCTAAGAAATACACAAATTTTAGTTTCACTCCTCATTATGAAGCATTTGAGTTCAAGTTGAATCATTCATCACTATTTCCTGGATTTTCATCTTAGATATGTTTCAATACTCTTTTTGCTGTCTTTCCCAATCTCATGAAATTAGAAAAAAAATCTGTAAATATTATGAGATAACTCATGGTTAAAGTACTTGCTGTGTAAAATCTGAGCGGGTGTGCCAAGTGTCTATAGTTCTGGAAGTGGGATAGTCAACTTAACACAGAATCTACTATAACAGAGGCATTGAGAATGCTAGCTACTGCATACTTCTTGCAGGAATATAGATTAACCTAAGCATTACAGATAATTTTAGGGAGAATCCCATATCCTATTACTCAGTAAAAAGTCAAAATAAATTAAATCAGTTTGGAAATAACAGAAATATCAACAACAATAACAAACTATGGCACTACACAATCCTTGCAGTTGTATTCACAATACACAGGGAATGAAAAGAAATCCCAAATCTCAGGAGATTGCCGAGTAAAGCAAATATAGTAAACCAATGACTTGTATGTAATGTATGCTAACTATCCATGCAAATGTTCTATTATTTATAACACAAGAATGTGACTTGAGATCATTGAGGTTTAATCAGAGATGGGGAGGTGATAGAACAGAAAAGGCGTGGTAACTAAATGGTGTATGACAACATCACATGGAAATATGCTTCTTTTTTGAAATTCACCTGTTCTTTTTGACATTATAAGATAATTACATCACTTATCCCTTCCCTACCCTACTTCTCAACTCTTCAGAATAACCCTCTCTACTCTTCTTCAAAATCATATCCTCTTTTTTACTAATTGTTATTACATGCATCCTCACATATGTATATGAATATATTTCTAAATATAACCAGTTCAATCCATATAATGTTACTTCTATGTATATTCAGGGCTGATGGATTGGCACTGGATATCTGTTTAATATGGTCTTCCATGGGGGAAAACTACTTCTGCACCCAGTTTTTCTCAATAGGGTATAGTTTTTTGTGAAAGCTGGAGGCCTCATAAGCTTTTTATCTGTCTAGATTGGCATGCTTAGTGTTGTCATCCTTTTTCAGCCCATGATTGGATAGTCATGCTGGTGAGATATTTATGGATATAGCTTTTAATGTTGCTAGGAGACAGAATTCTATAGAAAATACCCTGAGTCTCTGTTTCTTTTTTTGTTTTGTTTTTCCAATTTTTATTTAAATTAGAAACAAGATTGTTTTACATGTTAATCCCAGTTCCCTCTCCCTCTCCTCCTCCCCTGCCCCCCTACCTATCCCATTCCCTTTCTGCTCCCCAAAGAGGGTGAGGTCTTCCATGGGGGATATTCAGAGTCTGTCATATCCTTTGGGATAGGGCCTAGGCCCTCTTCCGTGTGTCTAGGCTGAGGAAGTATCCCTCTATGTAGAATGGGCTCCCAGAGTCCATTCCTATGCTAGGGATAAGTACTTATCTACTACAAGAGGCAGCATAAATTCCTGAAGTCTCCTCACTGACACCCACCTTCATGGGGTCTGGATCAGTCCTATGCTGATTTTCCAGCTATCAGTCTGGGGACCATGAGCTCCCCCTTGTTCAGGTCAGCTGTTTCTGTGAGTTTCACCAGCCTGGTCTTGACCCCTTTGCTCATCACTCCTCCCTCTCTGCAACTGGATTCCAGTTCAGTTCAGTGTTTAGCTGTGTGTGTCTACTTCTACTTCCACCAGCTGCTGGATGAAGGTTCCAGGATGGCATGTAAGTTAGTCATCAATCTCATTATCAGGGAAGGGCACTTAAGGCAGCCTCTCCACTGTTGCTTAGATTGTTAGTAGGTGTCATAATTGTAGATCTCTGGACATTTCCCTAGTGCTTGATTTCACTTTAAACCTATAATGGCTCCCTCTATTATGGTATATCTCCTCTATTCTTCCCCCATCTCAACCTCCCTGCTCCCTCTTGTCTGCCTCACCCTCTTCTTATCCCCTTCGCTTTCTGCTATCTCCCTCTCCCCTCCCTCCGTGCTCCCAATTTTCTCAGGAGATCTTGACCCTTTCCTCTTCTCTTTTTTCCTAGCTTCTCTGACAGTGTGGATTGTAGGCTGGTAATCTTTTCTGTATGTCCAAAATCCACATATGAGTGAGTATATACCATGTTTGTCTTTTGTGATTGGGTTACCTGGCTCAGAATGCATTCTTCTAGTTCTTCCATTTGCCTGTGAATTTCAAGATTCCATTGTTTTTTTTCCCTGCTTTGTAGTACTCTGCTGTATAAATGGAACACATTTTCTCTATCCATTCTTCAGTTGAATGGCGTATAGGTTGCTTCCAGGTGTGGCTGTTACAATAATGATGCTATGACCATATGCCCTTGTTGTATAAATGTGCTTCTTTTGGGTATATGCGTACGACTAGAATTGCTGAATCTTGTGGTAGACTGATTCACATTTTCCTGATGAATCGCCGTACTGATTTCCAAAGTGGCTGTAAGAGTTGGCCCTCGAACCAGCAGTGGAGGAGTCTACACCCTCTCCAGCATAAATTGTCATTGGTGTTTTTGATTTTAGTCATTCTGACAGGGGTAACATTGGTATCTCAGAGTTGTTTTGAGTTGCATTTCTCTGATGGCTAAGGATGTTGAATACTTTCTTATGTGTCTTTCAGCCATTTAAGATTCCTCTATTACTAATTCCCTATTTAGTTCTGTATCCCACTTTTTAATTAGATGATTTGGTGTTTTGGAAGATAGATCCTTGTGTTATTTGTAAATTTTGGAGAACAGCCCTCTGTCAGTTGTGGGTTTGGTATCTTTTCCCATTCTGTGGGCTGCTTTTTTGTGTTTTGGACTGTGACCTTTGCCTTACAGAAGCTTCTCAGTTTCAAGAGGTCCCATTTATTAATTGTCAAACTCAGTGCTACAGGTATTATGTTGAGGAACCAGTCTCCTGTAGCAGTTCATTCAAGGGTACTTCCCAAATTCTCTTCTAAGAAGTTCAGTGTGTCTGGATTTATATTGAGGTCTTTGATCCATTTGGATTTATGTTTGGGGCATGGAGATAGACATGTATCTGTCTCCAGTCTTCCACATGGCAGAAACCAGTTATGCCAGCACCATTTGTTGAAGATGCTTTCCTTTTTCCACTATAAAACTTTAGCTTCCTTGTCAAAAGCAGGTATTTATAGGTATGTGGATTAATTTTGGGGTTTTCATTTTGATTCCATTGATGTACCTGTCTATTTTAGTGCCAATACCAAGCTGTTTTCAGGACTATAGCTCTATAATAGTGCTGCAGACCACTCAGGGATAGAACCACACTGCAGGAGAATCAGGGTTTTGGTACTCAGGTTGGGATGGATTTGGCATGACAGACAGACACAAACACAAGAGAGGTTTGATGCTGCTGCAAAAATCTTTACTTCATCACTTTAACTTATACAAGCAATACAGGAACTTCAGCTTTGGCTTGAGTACAAAAAATGTGTATCATAGACATTACTGGCTCTAAGCAAATGTTAAGACGAAAGTACATGACAGGAAGCAGTTTTAGTCAGAATTATCTCGGCCCCAGACAGTGGTCAAGTTGCTGAGCTGGCTGTGATTCTGAAAATATGATCATGCTGAATGTTAGGATTCTTTAGGCCAATTTACAAACTTCATAAAGCAATCAATAAAATCCCTTTTATCCCCTGTATGTCTCCATACAAAGTCTTCTGATTGATAATGTAAATAGCTATACATTTGCCATAAAATATCTCTTTTGTCAGCATGACATATAAGGTGGTCTCGCTCTTTTTAGTTTCTCTCACAAGCTAAATGATATATACAATCTCTTTTCACCCCCAATGACAACCCAGCAATTAAAGTCTTTATCTTAAGCTCCTGTGTATGGCAAAGGGGCAGCTGTTGTCTTATAAAAATATGGCCCTTTGTTCCTTAGGGGCTGCCACCACTTCCTATTAATCTTGTAATAAGTTCTGCCTAATTCAACCTTTATAGGAATTCCAAGCTCCCCTAAGTTTTCTGAATCCTCTCCTTCTTGAACTTCTCTTTTACTTTTCCTAGACATCTGGTAAGACAACTCTGCTTGCTGGAGTTGATTCATAATTGATCTGAAGCTTTTATTTTCTGTTATAAACATTTCAAATAGAGTTCTAACTAACACAGGGCTTCTAGTAGAAATGTCCTTATCCTGAGCCACCCTAGCAAGGAACTGCTCCACTTGGACCACAGGTACAAACGAAACTTCAATGATAGCATACTGTATAGAAATTGTTGGGGA